AGGACCCGCCGGGAGTGGGCACGCAGAGCCCCCGAGGACCCCGACCGTCCCCACTCTCGCTCCTGCCCTCTCGTGCCTGTGCCACTTGCCCTCTTTCCTTGTTTTTTCTCGTCTCCTGTTTCTTTTCCTCTTTCCACTCTGTGCACACCTTGGCTTCCCAGAGCCTGGCCACAGATGGCAGCGGGTCAGGGTGTGTTGGGTTTAGACTCGCCTGTCCGTTCTTCCCTCCTTGGACTAGGCCGGAACCAAAGCCAGCTCGTGAGGTCCCAGGGTCTTCTGCGAGACTCTCTCTGCTGCCATCTGCTCGCTTGCCCTGCCGAGAGGGGACATTTGTGCGTGGGGTTTCCTTGTCATTAGGGACTAAGGTTTCCACCATTCATTCTCTTTTGCTCCAATCCACCTTATATCTAAGACCATAGAAATGAGAATTTTGTGTATATTTATTTATTGTTCCTCTTCCTTTAGTTCTAAGTGCACAGTGTTCAGCATGGCACGCGGAATTAAATTACCTTTGCTTTCTCCAATTCCGTGTTGAGTCATGTGGCCGTTACCAAGGATAAAATATGTTAGTGGACACAATGGCCTCACCTCATCCCATTACCTGAAATTATATACGGATGCTTATATTTCTGTAATACTGAGAGTTCTTACTGCCTTGTTTAATATAACTATTATTTCTGTTGTCAGAAGAGAAGACACATATTGCGAATCAATGTTATGATAAATTATTTTCCTTTCACTCCCTCATGAATAAGACTTTATGTTAAAAAAAGTTAATAAAAAAACCTTTTCTTATTGTTGTACTTGGATTATAATTTGAAATGTGAATACTCTTATTTAAAATAAGAGAAGTGCCATAGACATCTGAATCCAGCAAGATATATAATCATTTTTAATATAGAATCTTTCAGTATTAAATACTTTAAGAATGAGAGAAGAAGAGAGGATTATTTGGAAGATGAGGCTGGGGGCATTACAGGCAGAGCCTGGGCCTGCCTCCTGGGAACGGATGGGTTTATCTTCCTAGAAGCTACTATATTTTCTTTTCATGCTTTTGCCACATTTTTGGCGATGACAATTCTCTTTTTAAACTTTTGAATGACAAAACGTATTGAGCTCAAAGCACCTCACCAGGTTCTTCCTTCATCTCCTGAGCATCTGGGCACAGAAGAATTTCAGTTTCAGAGAGTTAGTCTGTAGTTTCCACCAGAACGTTAAGCCGCCCCTGGTGATGCCGGGTTCACAGAGTCAGAGCCCTGTGAGCTCAGCAGGGAACTTGGAGCCTCGAATCCAATGCCTTCATTTTTGACACCAGCAATTGGAGCAGTGGTTTGCTTGTGAATGTTTAACAACGGGCTCCCTAGGGGAGACGCCCTGTTTTGCTGTGTCTGCTGATTCCATGGTATAAATACTCTCACCATGGCTGACTTCTGGCTGTCATGTGAATTCGGTGTTGGAAAGAGATTGGCAGTAGCAGACCGTTACACAGAATTTCCAGCACGCAGCTGACATGTATGTAAAGAAAACCTCCAGAGCGCATAGTTCGTAAGAAGATACAGTAAAACAACTAGGAAGTGAAGAATTTTTGATTCCATCTCACCTTTTCAAAACCATTTTATTTAGTTGTAAGTTTGTATGATTTAATGTTTTATAATGGCTGTGTTTAGCAACCACCTTGCCAAATTCCTAAAATTTAAAGCTGGCCTCTTATGAGCCAGTTTGAGCTAGTTCCAGTGCAGAACTGAACTGGAGTCTTCTGACGGCTTGGGATGGAGCCCGGGCTAGTACCAAGGTCTTTTCGCTTCACTTTGGATAATGTACCCCGGGAAAAAGGATTCACAGTGTGATTACGGGATGATGGATCCTGACCTTCAGCTGTCACCCATGAAAAGGCCCTTTAAGTGATTCTGGATGATACTCTGAAAACACTGGGTCAGTGTTTTATAGGCGCAGAAGACTAAGGATTTTATTGGTTGTCAGCCAGAAAGATGTTCAAAGACAAAGGAGAAGTATTCTGTCTGAGTCTTGTTCAGAGTCCAAGTGCACTGCAAACCAGAACGCTTAGAGAAGATCTAGGAGGGGCGGAGACTGTCCTAAGGAGGACACATACGTGATTCAGGTAGTTGGTGAAACAAACAAGGGGGCTATGACAGGTCAGACTGGAAAGATGAGGGGGCCACACACGGCCTCTTTACTGTGGCCTTCCGCCCTCTGCCCCACAGCCCCAGGGTGATCTGCTGTGAAGCTCAGGTCCTGCCCTTCTCCGCTCCAAACTCTCACCACTGCTGGCCGATGACCCTGGGCTCCTCAGTCAGGAGCGAGGAAGAAGTCCTGGCTAGAAGGGCTGAGGTGGCGCGTCCCAAACCCATAAAGCCTGGAAGCGGCTTGTGGTGACCTCAGCTCCCTTTTCTGTGGGCACTTGTGAAGGTGATGGGAGATGAGTTTTCATAATGGAAAGAAAAAGCGAATTATGCAGCAGCCTTTGTGGCAGGAGACAAACGGGAGGATCTGCTTTGAAAGGCTTAACTGTATCCTGATCTCTAAGGATTATAAGCTTGTTGAGGCCAGGGACCCCTCCTTGTTCCTGGCTGAGGAGCTCAGTGTCGTCCATCAGCAGTGGTCAGTATAACCTCGGAGAGTTTTAAGCTGGGGAAGGCTAGGATGTAGTTTTCACAGCAGATCACCCTGGCTGCCGTGCAGAGAGGAGGGCAGGGCAGAGGAAAGGCCGCTGTGAGGAGGCTGTCGTGCAGCCGTGGGGGAACCACGACGGTGGCCAGGACCAGGAGGGCTGGGGTGGAGTGGACACGCGGCTCCTGAGACTCACCTGTGGGCGAGGTGGGGTGACATGGCCGCTGAGGGCACTTCCTCCATTGTTCCTCATTTCTTCCTTGGTTCTAGGGTCAGATGCCAGGACCTAGACACATGGGGAAGTACCACTCAGGGGAAAATGGTCAGCTCATTGTGCAGGATATTAGTGATATACATGACATATTTTGTTAATTTTTTTTTTAGCAATTTAGTTGCTTTTATTATATTCAGAGTTGGGCATCCATCAGCACGATCTAATTTTAGAATGTTTCTCTTGCCTCACCAAAACCCCCACACCCCATTGTCCTCCAGCGCCTCCTCCAAGCCGAGCCTGCGGCACTCAGCAATCTGCTTTCCATCTCTGCAGACTTGCCTAGTCCGGGCGTTTCACATAAACGGCATCATGTAATATGCTGTTGTTTGTGACTGGCTTTTTCACTTAGAATATCTTTTCAAGGTTTATCTATATTGTAGCACGTATCAATATTTCATTCCTTTTTACTGCCAAATAACATTCCATTATATGTACAACATTTTATCTTACATTCTATTTGTTATATCCGTAGGCTTTTGGGTTGTTTCCATTATTTTTATTTTTTGCTAAACATTTTTTTTGAGACAGGGTTTGTCTCTCGTTGCCCGGGCTGGAGTACAGGGGTGCATTCTCAGCCCACTACGGCCTCTGCCTCCCAGGCTCAAGCGATCCTCCTGCTTCAGCCTCTCGAGTAGCTGGCACTACAGATGGATGCCACCATGCCCAGCTAATTTTGTATTTTTAGTAGAGCTGGAGTTTCACCGTGTTAGCCAGGCTGGTCTCGAACTCCTGGCCTCATGTGATTCACCCACCTCGGCCTCCCAAAGTGCTGGGATTACAGGCAGGAGCCGCTGTGCCCAGCTCCAGTTTTCGACTATTATAAATAATGCTATTGTGAACAATGTGTACAAGTTTTTGTGTGGACACATATCTTCATTTCTCTTGGGTGCAGGCCTATGGTAGAATTACTGGGCCATGCGGTAACTGTTTAACTATTTGATGAACTTCCAAACTTTTCCAAAGCAGCTCTACCAGTTTACCTTGCAACCAGAATATATGTTTTTAAAGAACAGCTGGAAATAGCTTACATCATTAAGCCAATAGCAAATTGGTAACAGGCATTTGGCCAGGATCAGTGGGGCAGGGAGAAGGCAGAGAGCCTGTTCCCTCCTCCCCTGCGGTCAGTCGGTGCCGAGCAGGACATCACAGATTCCCTCCTCCCCTGCGGTCAGTCGGTGCCGAGCAGGACATCACAGATTTGCTCGTGATGGGGACTGGTCTGGCACAGAGACACCCAGGCATGTTCCCGTCCAGGGTCACATTTGCACCAGATTAAGAAGTGGAGCCAGGCTGCTTCCATGCCATTCGAGTGCCCTTGACCACATGCCGTTGTGTGATGAGTTGAGATGCGTACGTTCGTTGTGAGGGAGACACAGCACTTGGGCAAGTCCTGGGCATTCCTGTGTCTGATTTCACCCTTGTATGTTGTTCACTCCGACTTTTCACCCTGCTTGCTAAGTGGCAGGAACTGTTAAATCTGACCTCTAAGCTTGGGCTTAGAAAATGAATCTAGTTTCTTGCTCTCTGTGCCATTGTCAATAGTTCAGGGACAGGCCGAGCTGGGTGCGGGGCCAGTGCAGGAAAACTGGCTCTCGCTCCTGTGACAGCTCTGCTGAGTGCATTTCTTCAGCTTTAAACTCACATTCTAGTGGATTTGGCATTCACCAGCAAACTGTTATTCTCCCAGACTGTTTTCTTATATCACATCTGGGTTTGTCTTACAGGTAACAATCGCTTGCGATGCCGTTCTCAGCTCAAAGTCTCCGTACAGAAAGCAGGACCCAGATACATGGGAAAATGAATTGCCGGTGTCCAAATACGCCAACAACCTCACCCAGCTGGACAACGGAGTCAGGATTCCTCCAAGGTGAGAGTCGAGTCGCAGAATGGAACTTTACTCCCTAAAACTGGCCAAATGAATATTTGTTTTCTCTTTTTTGAATTGGCAGTTATATTTTTTCTTACCAGATGCCTTTTATTTTTATTTTTGAGACGGAGTTTCACTCTTGTTGCCCAGGCTGGAGTGCAATGGCGTGATCCCAGCTCACCGCAACCTCCGTCTCCTGGGTTCAAGTGATTCTCCCGCCTCAGCCTCCCAAGTAGCTGGGATTACAGGCATGTGCCACCACCCCTAGCTAATTTTGTATTTTTAGTAGAGACAGGGTTTCTCCATGTTGGTCAGGCTGGTCTCGAACTCCTGACCTCGGGGGATCTGCCTGCCTCGGCCTCCCAAAGTGCTGGGATTACAGGCATGAGCCACTGTGCCCAGCCCCAGATGCCTTTTATTGAAAGTAAATATAAAACTTCTCTCTGAAATTGTCTGCACCTTTGTAGTAGATGCTGAACGTGCTCAGCCCATACACCAGGCCCTTCCCTGTCCTGAAGCTGCCAGTTGCGAGCACTTGCGACCCTTGGCTCGAATGCGTTTTCTGCTTGCCAAAGCCAGTACGGCTGGTGCCTGGGACAGTCAGAAACATCGGAGCGAAGCTTCCTCCCTCCTCCTGGGGCAGCCCTAAACCAGTGGCTGTGGCGTGGGTGGAGTAATACCCCATCTTCCTGCCCCTCCAGGCGGGATACCTGTCTCCTGCAGTTCCCCACGTGGCCGGAGCCCAGCTGCCCACAGCGTACCTTGGCTTACTGACATGTCCTGAAGCAGCTCGGGCCCTTTCTTGTGTCTTCGCCTCTTCCTTGGGATCACCTCCCAGACAAGCCATTTTCCTTCACTGCTTTGTCTCAGAGTCTTGTTTTAGGAGAATCCAACTCACAAGTCCTCGGTTGTCACATTTTGGCTGGAATAGCCTTTGGGCTCCATTCATGTCTCCTCTTACAAGGCGCCGGTGTGATTACAGAGGCAGATGGATTGGGAATGTGTCTGATTTGGTTGAATCCTGACAGGGGCACTGTGTTCACCTGCTGTGTGGCCTCAGGAAACGAGGGTGACTTCTGGGCCTCCGTTTCTCCGTTCGTAAAAACAGTGATGCCGAAAGGTGTTTATTAGGATTAAATGATGAGACTTCTGGAAGGTACTTGGCACATAGTTGGCATTTAGCATTTAGTCAAATTGGTTTCCTTTCTAACTAATTTAGATTTGCAGTGGAGTCAGGTTTTGTATAAACTAGTTGTAGTCCATGTGATTGATGCTTTAGAACTCTAGCCATTTATACACACAAGATCCTTAATATTTCAAACTTGGTCAAGCTCCTCTGTCTCATGGAGGAATTGCAAGGAAATGGGCTCCTGTCCCAGCCCCAACTGTGTGTCAGTTTTCGAAAGTAAAAAAGCCCCTCAGAGCTGCTGGAGGGGCTAGCCCACCTCTGGGTGGCGGGCAGGGTGCTGAGTCATCCTGCTATTCTGGGGGAGAAACAATTTGTTTTTTTTTTTTGAGACAGAATCTTGCTGTGTCACCCAGGCTGGAGTGCAGCGGCATGATCTCAGCTCACTGCAACCTCCACCTCTTGGGTTCAAGCAATTCTCTCTGCCTCAGCTTCCCGAGTAGCTGGGATTACAGGTGCACGCCACCACGCCTGGCTATTTTTTGTATTTTTAATCGAGACAGGGTTTCTCCATGTTGTCCAGGCTGGTCTCGAACTCCTGACCTCAGGTGAGCTGCCTGCCTCAGCCTCCCAAAGTGCTGAGATTACAGGCGTGAGCCACCGCGTCTGGCCAACAGTGTTTTAAGGGGAGAACATGGGGAAGCACCGGTGTCTGTGATTCCACCGCGCCTCTGCTGTGGCCTGCCTGCTGGAAACGCTCTGTTGTCTTAGAGGTGAATTTTTAAACGACGCTCTCTGGCTGCTCTGACCGCTCTCCAATGGCTTTGCAGTGGTTGGAAGTGTGCCAGATGCGACCTGCGAGAAAACCTGTGGCTGAATCTGACCGACGGCTCTGTCCTGTGCGGAAAGTGGTTCTTTGACAGCTCTGGGGGCAATGGGCACGCGCTGGAGCATTACAGAGACATGGGCTACCCGCTAGCCGTGAAACTGGGAACCATCACTCCTGACGGGGCAGGTGAGTGTGCCTTTACTGACTTGAGGACACACGCTGGCTTCTCTTAGGTTTAACCAATCCCAAATCCAGGTGGTTGGAGGGCGTAGGCTCTGGGTTCAGACAGCCCAGGATGGTGGTATACTCTGAGAATGCATCATTAGGTGATTTCCTTGTGTGAACATCACCGAGGATACTTGGACAAACTCAGATGGCATAGCTTCCCTCACAACCAGGCTCTACAAGGTAGCCTGTTGCTCCTCAGCCACAAACCTGTCCAGCACGGCCCTGTGCTGACTGCTGTGTGAACGCAATGGTAAGCACCTGTATATCTGGACATATCGAAACCTGGAAACGCTGCAGCAGCAATATGGTACGACATGGAAAATGCTCGCCTGTAAGGGCACTTTCCATGAGTGGAGCAGGCAGGACTGCAGCTACTGTGCGTGAGTGGGGAGTGAATTCAGTGTTCAGTCCTGCAGAGTCACCTTACACGTGGTTACATTTATGAATAATAAATTAACCTCTTGCTGTAATGTTTTTACTTTATAAACTTAATCTTTTTAACTTTTGGACATTTTTGTAGTAACACTTAACTTAAAACACAAATACATTACACAGCTGTACAATTTTTTTTTTTTGAGACAGTCTTGCTCTGTCACCCAGGCTGGAATGCGGTGGTGTGATCTCGGCTCACTGCAACCTCCGCCTCCCAGGTTCAAGCGATTCTCCTGCCTCAGCCTCCCGAGTAGCTGGGATTACAGTCACCCGCCACCACACCTGGCTAATTTTTGTATTTTTAGTAGAGGTGGGGTTTCACCACATTGACCAGACTGGTCTCGAACTCCCGACTTCAGGTGATCTGCCTGTCTAGGCCTCCCAAAGTGCTGGGATTGCAGGTGTGAGCCACTGCACCCAGCCAAGAAAGTTTTATATTTTCATCTTGATTATGTAACAACAGATACTCAGTGTAACATCTGTAGAAAACAGAGGTGAAAGTTTAGATAAATTAATACAAACTAGTAGTGATACCACCCTCTAGACTAGTCACTGTTAGTAATGTAGATATTTCACTTCAGTCTTTTTTTAAAGGGTTAATCAATTCACACATATACACACACGTACACACACACATCCACCTCACATTTTTACAAAAATTGGATCACACTGTATAAAGTTTTGTTACTTATTTTTTCTATTTAACATCATGTTTTTCTATGTTATTAAATATTCTTCAGTATTTTATGATGGTTTCATAAATTATTTCACTATTCAGTGAGTGTTACAATTTTTTTTCTATTCTGATGAACATCGTTGAATATATGCAAATTTTTGTGTTTGTCTAGTTATTTATTTAGAATAAATTTCTGTGACAAAGGGTTGAATCTTCAAAATTTTCAGTTGTCAAGATTCTCTTTTAAACAGTTGTAATAATTTACATTCTCATCAGCAGTATATGACAGTATCCATTTCAACAAATCCTTGACAACTTTTTGCGTTAAGACTTAAAAAAAAATAACCTTTGCTAATCTGGTATCTTGTTTTAATTTGCATTACTAGTGAGGTTGAATATTTTTCTTAGTATTCTTGGCCTTTTGTAGTTCTTTTTTGCAAGTTTCTTAGGCCAATTTTCTTGTAGGTTTAGGTTTTTAAAAATTGTTTTTTAAGAACTCTTTATTAAGAATTATCTTCCATAGTTGTTGTTTTGTGAAGAAGAAAGAACCTTTAAGGTTTTCCTTGTCATAGAATTGACAGTATTTGAATACATACTTCCGTATCAATCATAGAAAGTATAAAACACTGGCAGCGGCAATGCAGATCACACACACCGTGAGAAGGGTTGTGAATTCATTTAGCTCAAATGATGTTGACTGAAAAAGATCAGGCTTCGATTCCTGCATATGTTGTGCAGCGTTGGTTTTAATAAAAGTGATGATTTTCTGCCTAATTATAATTTCATATTAGTTTATGGGATGTGTACATTCTATTTTGGTTTCCTTTAAGTCTGTTTAATAGATTGCTAGCTGTAACTTACTGTTAATTTAAAAGCCACATAAATTAATAAAAACCTGCATAAAGTTTTCTTAAATGTCTCACGATGAGTCCTGTGGACACTGAGGCCGGGGGTACGGTGCCCTCCGTCTGGGGTAGCCGTCTCCTGGTGAAGGTTCTGTGGCTGACGGTTTGATTGTCCGCACGCGCTGGGGTCACGCAGGCCAGTTTGGCACACAGGAGACAAAGTCTCAAAGTCAGGGCGTTTGTTTCTCAGTTCACAATGAGAGCAACAACTACCAGTAAGTAGGGTGCTGATGTCGCTTGACCAGTGCATTCCTTCCTGAGGGAAGGGAATTATATTTAGAAGATTGCTTGGCGAATGCAGAATCCAAGAAGGTTTGGACTCAAGCATTTAATGGTAGTGTGATCTGATGACCCTGATTTCCTTTCCCCCGATGAGGATGTATTTGTCCACTGAGACACTGCCCCTCATCCTTGGGGTCTCAACTTAGGTTTAGTTTTTCAAAGAAGCCCTTGTCCCTCAGTCTAGGCCAGAGTGTGGTGTGCGTAGGAAGAATAGGCCCCATATGAAATTCTACTCCGGGTCCCCATGGGTACAGCCACAAACAAACGAGAAGCAGTTCGCTACGCAAACAAACAAAAAGCTTTCCACCCGGGAGGACACATTGTTTTGGCGAGGCAAGGATGAGGTTCTTGGCAGAAAGGGTAGGGCAGGACGGAGGCAGGACAGGGTGTGGTTTTCTTCTATCACGAAACCCGTTTACCCAGAAGACGCTTTGGTGAGTTAGGTGACTGCAGGAGAGTCTCCCCGAGGTGCCCAAGACAGCCGTGAAACTGCCTATTGCACTGGCTGTGCCAGCACCTCAAGGTGATCTTGCTTCGTGGGTTTTGTTTACCCCTGACCTGGCCGTAAGCTCCCTTGAGTATCCCCAGCCCCAGGTGTGGAATCGGGACATGGAGTACTTCATTGTAGTCCCTGGAGTGTCCCCAGCCCAGGTGTGAAATCGGGGCATGGAG